GCATAAATTTTTCTGATCTGTATTTTATTTATGTTAAATATGCCTTACTTTTAGATGGACATTATCTGTTTGTATTGAAAATTTCATAGTGATAGCTTTATTGGTTTAATAATTATGTCATTTTTTGAAGAAAAAAATTTGTTCGACAATTGTCGTTATCCATGCTATATGCTTATAAAAAAATTTTTCAAAAAATATAATAAGTTAATTCAAAATTCATGTGTTTAATTTTGTTAAACATTGTATTGTAAATGTGTTCTCCAAATTTGAGCAGTATAACTTTAAAAGCCAACAAGATACAACCAAAATAGTACAAAAAGAGTAATAATTAGATCACAGTTTTAAAAATTAAATACAAAGCCAAATAGTGGGAAAAAATAAATCACTAAAAAATTCATAACTTTTCTTCTACAAGTGATAGAAAGATTATCTTGGTGTCAATGGAAAGCTTAAAGTCAGCTCTTTCCAATGATATGCTCTTTGTGTATGTCAGATGTATCTGAAATTTTGAGTTGGAGTACCTATATCAGTCTCAATACATAAACTGATGATTATTTTACTTTGAAATGCCTATGGTAAATAAAAAAAAATTATGGAATTATTAAATTATTTCAAAATTAAGCACAGTTATAGAGCTACTATTACTGGATTACTGGGAGCAGGCTATGCCTATACAAAGAAATATGAGCCTCTGATCGGTAGCGTAAAAAAGTTGACCCTAATAGGAAAGTTATGTTGAATCAAATGGTGGAGTGACTTGAGGTATGCCTTTAAAGAGCCCATCACTTGCATTAATTGCTGATGTCATCCAAGTGTCAATGCAATAGCTGACAGACAATAGAGACCCTTGCACAAATGGTGAAGTGACTTGAGGTATGCCTTTAAAGAGCCCAATCACTTGCATTAATTGCTGATGTCAACCAAGTGTCAATGCAATAGCTGACAGACAATAGAGACCCTTGCACAAATGGTGACGTGACTTGAGGTATGCCTTTAAAGAGCCCATCACTTGCATCAATTGCTGATGTCATCCAAGCTGATAGACAATAGAGATCCTTGGAAATTTTCCATCATAAGAGATCCCAGGAAATTTGCAATGGTATGTGTTCATATGAGAAGAGATAATATTAATTTTTCTACTATTTTTAACAGAGAGTTTGCACTATAAGAGTTTTCTCTTGGGGGATTAATGAGGAAAAGAGAGGTCGATAAAAATTACTAGGTAGAATGGCCGATTAGAAGGAAGCATGGAACTAAACCTTCATCGAAACAGTTAACTGAGACCAATCAGATTGCAAAAGTCAATTAAAACCCTTTGATGCTCGAAATAAAAATAAATTCAAAACAGTTTATTATTTATAACAAAAGCTTGTATTTTAAGACGTATATTATCCCATCAACTGTGTACTTCCAACTCCATACACGCAATTTGCAAACATGAAACTCATTCGATTTTGTAATTTTACCAACAATATTGGCATGTTTGGAAAATGAAGGCTACAAATAATCTATGTGGTTTACTTCTCTCCTGGCAGTACTGCTTGCAATACTGGTCAAGTCAGTTGACTTCCAAATGTACACCATACCTGGCCAGTGCTTGGGTGGATTCTTCTATTTCTTTTCTTTCCAAGCTGAGCAAGGTCAAGTTCCTCAAGATGTGTAACAAATGTTGGTTGTATATGGGATTTGTTTCAGCATCAGGAGTCTGTTCCAAGTACTCCTTGAGATGAATAAAATGTAGGCTTGTCAGAAAATGTGTATGATATTAAATGACGCAATCAAATAAAAAATAAAACTACATATCTCATTTAGCCCATGTCAGCATTAAACATTATTTTTCAATTACCCATGGAGTCAGAGGTGGATACAATTTAAAAAAATAGTCCTCCTTCCAATAGGTTTTCTGAAGAAAAAAAAAGAATACCACCAGAGGAAACTCCCCTTGAATTTATCTTCTGCCTTCATCTATAATTGACTGGCAAGGAAAAACAAAAACTGTGGTTACCGAGAACACATGATCCAATAACTCAAACCACAGCAGTTGGTCAGTAAAATTCATGGTTAGGTCAGCACTGACGGCAGCAGAGTAAGCTTCAGAGTATCTCCCAGTTTCCAAGTAGATGTCAACCAGCTGCTTGTGTAGCGAAACATTCGTAGGCTTATTGGACTGTAGTGAAGACAAGTCAGTTATTAAAATATAACATAACATAACAGAATCATTTTAAAATTTGAAACAATGCATTTAATGCAATCTTTGGCAGGGATAAGTCTGTAAATAATATCAGTGAACAGGGTTGTTGACTCAATAAAAAAAATAATTGCATGACAAATATTCTAGATCTCCAAAACTTTTTAAAGACAATCAAAAATTTTGTTTACAGACACATTTTAATACAAAACTATTGGGACTATGAAATTAATTTTTTTATTTATCATATCTATTTTTATGACTATGTCTCATCATTTTTACTCTAAGTCATATGATCATGAGGCTATTTTATAGTGTTAGTTTATTG